CCCAGCTTGGGGGCCCCATGCCATCCAGCCCTGCCAGTGCCAGCCTTTCCCAGCCCTGCCCCCCATTTACAGCCCCAGGGGTGGGGGAGAAGGGCCCTGTGGCCCCCCTTCCTGCCTGTTGAGTGCAAGCCCCCCTGCCCGGTAGGGGTGCCAGAGAGCCCTGCTGCCCCCTCCCCAGAATGGGGCTCCGAGGCGTGTGCCCCACGCAGGGAGGGGCGCAGCGAGGGCTGAGCATGTCCCCTGCCCCCCCACAGTCCCAGCCCCTGGAGATGTCGCGGCCACTGACTGACCAGGAGAAGAGGAAGCAGATCAGCATCCGCGGCAGCAAGCCCCCCTGCCCGGTAGGGGTGCCAGAGAGCCCTGCTGCCCCCTCCCCAGAATGGGGCTCCGAGGCGTGTGCCCCACGCAGGGAGGGGCGCAGCGAGGGCTGAGCATGTCCCCTGCCCCCCCACAGTCCCAGCCCCTGGAGATGTCGCGGCCACTGACTGACCAGGAGAAGAGGAAGCAGATCAGCATCCGCGGCATCGTGGGGGTGGAGAATGTGGCCGAGCTGAAGAAAGGCTTCAACCGGCACCTGCACTTCACCCTGGTCAAGGACCGCAATGTGGCCACCCCCCGCGACTACTACTTTGCCCTGGCGCACACGGTGCGCGACCACCTGGTGGGCCGCTGGATCCGCACCCAGCAGTACTACTACGAGAAGGACCCCAAGGTGAGCAGGCGGAGGGCAGCGTCTAGGGAGGATGTGCACGGTGGGTCTACTCACAGCAGGTGGGTGGGTTGCTAAGGTACCAGGAACCCAGTCCAGGATCACCGGGGTACAGCAGCACCTGGGCTGTGCAGGTACTCAGGCTGCTATGGGGTGAGGGGGAAGATAGAGCGAGCCTGGGACCCCTTTTTGGGCAGATTCCCCAAGTAGGAACATGGCTGTATTGAAAGCCCCTAGGTCATGGGAAGGGAGGTAGCTCCTCAAGACCAGAAATGCTGGAACCTCTTGTATAGTAGAAGCATCTGACGCACTGTAAATGCTCTGTATGATGCAAAGCATTTCACGCCAGGGGGTGCTGCTGCGTCCTCCGCATCCCTTGGTCCAGTACCAATGTTCCCTCTAATCTTTTCCATCCCTGAGTGGATTTTTTCCATCCATGTGCAGAATAATTTTTATGTGCACCAATGCATGTTCATGTGCACCACCAATAGAAACAAAAAACCTGGTCATGGGCATTCTGCTAATCACCTGGGCAGCACTGAAATTTCTCCCTAGCCACCCAAGCACCTGGCTTACCGGGAGCACTGTCCGGTACCAGTGCTCAAGACTCTCCATGGTTCACAAGTGAGACGGCTACTTTCCATTTGCCAGAGAGTAGGCCTGACTCCGTGCTGGAAACTGGGAGATGTTACTGCCCACCGTAAACCGCTCATGAGCAAAATTGGCTAAATCTCTCCTTGCTCAGAGGGAGCTAGATTTTTTTTATTTTATTTTTTTTACGGAGGGAAGAGGTCTGCTTCCTCATTTGTGCCTGATTCCAGGAACTGGGTTTAAACAAACTAGGCCACTTCAATTTGTTTTACTAGTTGAACAAAACTTGGCTGGCAACACTTAATGTTCAACTTGGTAAGAAAGGGCTTGCTGTATTTGTGCTGCAACAGTTCCTTTGTGTATTCCCGCCCTCTTTCTGCTCTGTCCAATGGGTAGGAACTACCAACCGTTATCTGGAAACCCTTTTAGGGTAATTTAGTTTGAGGGATCAAAAAAGGCCAAATTCAGCCTCTAGCTAATGATTTGGCTCAAAATAAAAGCAAAACTAACGAGCAGTGACAGAGCCTCAAAGCTGTATGTGCTGTAGTGTTAGGTTAAAAAAACCACCTTGAGCATTTTAGAAATAGCATACTTAACATGAGCCATTGCAAAAGTACCACGAGCCTCACTCTGACTCCTGCTGTTGACTTAGCCCTGGTTCACAATTGTTGATAGGACTCTCGCTTGCTTATATTGCTCTGAACTTCATTTTGAAGAAGGCAGTCTAGCCAAAGAACCTCTTTCTGTTCTCCCCAGCTACATTTCTTAACCCGGATCCTTATAATGTGGCAATAGGAAGCCAAAAAATGCAGAACATAAGTAACCAACATATAAAAGGTCACAGATAACCAACTGTCCTGTCTCCAGAGAGAGGTGCATTGCTTCCTGTGATCTGCAGCACTGTCCGCATAGACTGCCTCAAAAAAGCCGGGCCCAGTCATGCTAATTTTTTTTTTAGAGTAGATGAGGCTTTTAGCAGCATGCATGCACTTGGGACTTCGGGTGCTTGTGGGAAACTAAGAGCCCTATTGGGTCAAATGTCGTGGAAGAGGCTTGGAACTCGTGTATCACGTGACCAAGTGTGAAATGTCCATCCTATCTAAAGCCCTGGGGCTCCTCTGACAAGGAATTGGGGCTGAAGTAAAAAGATCAAGCGGTCTCAAGTGAATTGGCTTTAGCATTCCTCTAGGGCCGTGGTCACCAACCAGTAGATCGCGATCTACCGGTAGATCTCAGGGGCTCCAAGAGTAGCTCTTGAGCCCTCTCTGAACTGCGCACCTGCGCAGTGCATTTACATTAGATTTCCTCATGTAATGTAGGCGGGGCTTCAAGGAAGGGGCGAGGCACATGTAATGTAGGCGGGGCTTCAAGGAAGGGGCGGGGCAGTAGATCTTCGCCTGTTCTGAGACTTAAAAAGTGATCTTGGGTGTAAAAAGGTTGGAGACCACTGCTCTAGGGTCATTGCATGTCCTCCTTGGTTTATATTGAACACAGAACTGTGCTAGCTAGGGGATTAGACCATAATCCTGTTTGTGACATCATTCGTAAGCCCCTCCCAGTCTACCAAGTCTAATTATCACAAGGCTGAGCCAATTTTTGCTCTGCCATGACAGTTTTTCATAGGCCTGCCTTTCCCACAGGTGCCTCCGCACTGTCCCCACACACGTGCCTACATGTGGTAGGGACTGTGTCAAAATCCACAAAGCTTCCCCCTTCTCCTCTGCATTCCCCCTTAAAACCTTTGCTAAATTGGCCACTATCAGGTTTTGGACAAAGTGGCATCTAGCTGTGACTCTGTCCGTTTATGTAAATATATTTGTCTTTACTGTGACCTTGCTGCCCACCTATTCCATGCTGTTTAGATTGTGAGTGCTCTAGGCTGGTGGGGGAACGAGTCTTATTTGAGTCCTTTTGTGCATCACTTAGCACAGTACAGCCGTGGTCTCTGACGGGGGGGCCCTTAGCACTACAGGGATAAAAGTAAGAAGCATGAGAGGAAATTACATTTCAGGGAACAAAGATTTGTATTTAGAATATTTGCCTCGAGGGAGAGTATATCTCGATGGCTTTTGTCCAAAAATCAGGAGTAGCTCTTAGAAGCCACTGTGTGCTCAGTGGAATCCGGTCATTTATTTAGCATCTTCAAGTCTGGTTTAATTTGAAATGTCTGCTCTGTCTACATTTTAATTCTGTTTCATAGACCTATATAGGGCCACATGCTGCCAAATTCAGACTATTGGAGGAGTTGTGATCTCTTGTATAAACAAAATTTAAGGTGTGTCTCCACTACTGAGTGGATCATGCTGTATGCGATTGATCCACCCAGGGGTTGATTAGTGGGGTCTAGTGAAGACCTGCTAAATTGACCGCTGATCGCTCAGATGTTGGCTCTGGTATTCCACCAGAAGAGATGAGTAAGGGAAGGTGACAGGAGAGTTTCTCTCATCACCCCCTACGATGTGGATCCTGTGGTAAGTAGATCTCAGCTACATAGATTTTGAGTTACGCCACTAAGGTAAACTCAGATTGCACAGCTTAGATTGACTTGTCCACGTAGTGAAGACCTACTCTTAACCTCTTCCACCCCTGGAACTATAGTGCTCCTTTTGCTTCCCTGTGCGAGCATTAGTGGTTTTAAAATAGCCGTCAGGCTGTAGAACAGAGTTGGAAGTAGTTAGGCCTTCTCTCTGTGCTGTTGCATGCCCCCTTATTCGCTTTTTTTCCCAGCATGCATCCATAGTTCCGACCTTTCTTTTGGTTACGTGTACAGGCCACTAGCAAAAGGCCTGATGCCGGTCTGTCTGCAGACTCAGGAAGAAGGTGATGCACTGGGGTTATCTCTACAATCCTACAGGCTGAAAATGCCCTTTTTAAAGTGAAAACTGAAATTGGTAGGTTAGCACCCTTCCTCCTCAGTGGCCTATGAATTTTTAAAGCTATGCTTATTTCAAATCGAGGCACCAGCTAATAATTGGGATTTTCTACTCAAGATGTAACCTTGAAAAAGACGTAAGCATCCTCCTGATGAAATAAGCCGGTTCTATTCCTCTTGGGTTGAAAAGATGCCAAAATAACATTTTCCAATCTTGAGTGTTCTTGAGGAGACTAAATTTCAACGTGTTTCAATAAAACTTGCTTTTATTTTCTTCTTTCAGAGAGTTTACTATCTCTCGCTAGAATTTTATATGGGCCGTACCTTACAGAACACCATGATAAACCTTGGATTGCAAAATGCGTGTGATGAGGCAATTTATCAGGTACGTGTTTTTATTTTGTGGTCTAGCTGAGTAATGTATAGTCACTAGTGGTTTTTTGGGCAGGGAGAGAAGGGCATATTGTAATCAGAGGTAACCTACGACAAGTATTCACTTGGTATGCACAGTTCTAAATGGCTACAGTAAAGATACTGAAAGAATGTTAACTGAGTGTTCAGTGGGAGTTGCTTACATAAGGAGATGTCTTTGCTTTTTGCATCAACAGTTGGCAGGATGTTACTGCGTTTAAAAAGTTTCAGCATCAGAATAAACTTCTTGGGATGAAATTCAGTTTCCTCTTTTCACGGGAACAGAAATGTTACTTATCGTTGCTAGCTAAGGCTTGCATGCTGGTCTCAGACTAGGTGGTCTATAAAAGTTACTTCTCAGCGAAGAAGGGCATGTATGTAAACTATTAAGTGTTCTCTAAATCCAGAGTGACTCGTGATTGTTTAGCAAAACGGTCATGCTGTGCATTGGTTTAACACTGGCAGAGCCTCAAACCTTAAAATTATCTGTGTTTTTGATTGTGGTATTCTGGTACTTTTGGCTAAGTTCCACCCTGGTGTTAGAAATCCTAACTCTATCAGTGCCAGTGCAGCCAAGTTCTTTGGTTCTCAATTAGCAGTGTTACTCCTGCTTGGGGTTATGATCCCATATAATACAAAAATGATCTTAAAATTATCCAATCAGCCTGTATTCTACCTGAAAATGTGGCGTGCAGGTACACAAAGTGTGTAAAACACATGCTCTGATACCATGGCCATAGCCATGTCAATTGTAATACCTGAACAGTTGGCAAATTGGAATCCACTTAATGTCACAGATCACTGGAATCTCAAAATTCTGCGGGCCTGATTGCCGGAGATGCTGATTACTTGTAATTTCAACTCAGATCAGTGGAAGTCCTGGGTTCTCCGCATCTCTGAAAATCCAGGCCTTAAATCAGGCTATTAACCTTTGGGAAAACAGAAGCTTGTCCATTAGATGGCTCTATAGGTAATCAATAATGCAGAGTGGAATAAAATTAAAATGTTCGGTTTTGTTGATGACTAATGCAAACCCACATTTGGCTTTGCTCCACCATTCAAAGTTGTACGGCTGCTACTGTCATGCCAAAGTTTTGAAAGTGGCTTTATTCCATGCTACTCTTTAGCTATCCTTGTACTCTGGTAACTGTATGCTCTCTAGGGTGTGGTAGTTTAGAAAGTTACACCGCAGGAAGGCTGCTATTCAAACACATGGCTCTCCTTTTGAAACATGTTTTTCATCTATTGACAACACAAAGAAAATAAGGTGCAGGACTTCTTTTCAAAGAGGACTGTGTTTAGATTCTTTGTTCAAATACATCTTATGTTAATAGACTTCTCCAGTTACTGGACTATACTCTGCTGGTTATTTGGAGAAGATATTCTTTAAGGCTACGTCTGCGCTGCCAGCTTTTTGCGCAAGAAGCCTTTTGCGCAACAGCACGTCCACACCTCAAAACACATCACAAAAGCAATGTGCTTTTGCACAAGAGAGCGTCCACACTGCAGGGATGCTCTTGCGCAAGAAAGTTCTGTGCTTTTTCTCATGGGGGTTTCTTGTGCAAAAAAATGCTTCTGGAGCATCCACACTTGCCTTTTTGCGCAATAGCTGTAGTGCAAAAGGGTGTTATACCTCGTAGACAGAGGCTTACCTACACTGGCAAAAGCCCTCTATTCTGTCATTTTACTGCTGATTTACTTCATGAATTTGAGGTGTGGCTGCTCTGCCGGTTTTTGTATTTTTGTGCCAAAACCTTGCGGCGACAACATAGCCTAAATGTGTGTTTTGTTACATGGATAATAGGGTCTGGAAGGTTTTACTCTAAGAAATGTTCAGCTTTGGTACTCAAGGATGAAGTTAGTCTGACCTGAATAATTATGTAATAGAGAAAAATATCCCGTTAAGTCCCCGTCCCCTCCCCCGCAATAACTAAAAATTTCACTAGAGTAAGTGCTAACTTAAATGGACTTTCTGTAATCGCTAAAGAAGTCTCTTTGTAAAATGTATGCAGAAACAGAGCTGTAATTTAGTGCAAATGCTAAGTCCCTGCCTCTTATATTGCTAGGCCTAATTTTAATGTGGCATAAACTTCTTTTTGAATGTTCATACATAGTACAGGATTTTTTAAAAAAATTGCTAGATGTAGGCACAGCAATTTATCTACCCCCAAAATGTCTAGCAAAATTCAGTGTAAAACTCTAGTTCTGTTGTCCTAAAACAAATACTTGGTGCGTGATGTGAGTCGAGCAGTTACCAAGTTAGAGATAAGCAATGCAGGATCAGATGTGGCCTGTTTGGATGAGAGCTCTTCCTGAAAATTGTAATGCTGTAATAGACGTGACACATACTGCCAGAAATAAAGCAATATCTTGGCAATATGTCAGAGGGCGCTGCGGAGGCCCTGTCTTCGGAGGTGTAAAACCATTGTCCTGACAGCTTAAGATGATAAAAATTCCCTGATCTTCTTTGGGAGAAGAGGTGTTAGCTCTGGTGTTCTGGCTAATCACCACTGAAGTATTAATGCTTTTGATATTGAGTTACCGCAGTAGTTTCAGGTGGTTGGATAAGTTAGTCCTCACTTAACACCTGTGCCCTTGTGACTGGTGGTTACCATCCTCCAAAGGAAAACTGGGTTTCACTGGCGGACGACTTGTTTTTATTCAATATTGTGAAGCTTTGATGAGCCGGTCGGCCCCTTCCGGGGAGAGGTGCTGTGCAAATCAGTTCTTCGGTTGAAGAGCAGAAAGAGTAGGTGGGCGGGGGTGAAGAGGGTTGCGTTGTTACTCTCCACCGTGCCTGGAATTGAGGAGGGAGAGGGGTGAAGTTGCTTTGGGAGAAATTCACCGTCACAGTAGCAGAGCGGAAGAACACGGTTACAGGGAGCTCTGCTGCTTGTTAAACCTGGACTCCGAGGAGCGCCTGCCTGCCAGGATAACAGAATGAAGCTGCAGTGCGGAATGAATTGTGTGCAAAGCTCCCTGTAACTGTGTTCTTCCCAGTAACTCTGGTGGCATCTTAGCCCCGCTGTTCCTCTCGCTGCCTCCTGGCAGCGTGGCGGTGCAAGTGTTCGCTCTGTCGCTCAGCGCCTGAGCTCATGTCTTCTGTCTGTGTTTAGCTAGGGCTGGATATAGAAGAGCTGGAGGACATGGAGGAGGATGCTGGCCTTGGTAACGGAGGTCTGGGGAGACTGGCTGGGAAGTGAGCTTGAGACTGGCTGGTAAGTGAGCTTCGGGGGCACTGATTTGAGAACATACCAAGCAGTCCCGTATGCACTGGGCGCTCTTCCCATGCCCATAAGGAGCACGCGTCTGTGGGCGTTGTAATAGCTAGGGGCCTCTGCCAGTAACTTGTGATGCTTTGCAAGCATGTCACTTTCCGGGGCTGGTAAAAACCATCCCGGGGAACTTTGCTAGCTACATCCCCTAAATTGTATGTCTTTTAACAGCCTGCTTCCTTGACTCCATGGCAACACTGGGGCTTGCTGCGTACGGGTATGGCATCCGATACGAATACGGAATCTTCAACCAGAAGATCCGCGATGGGTGGCAGGTATGGATAAGCAGAGCTCTGCTATTTCTCTCGCGTCTTCGTGAAACACGATCATACATCCTCTAAACACGGACGCTGAGAGCACTGATCACGTGAGGTGTTTTGCCCAGTTTACCATTTCAGTATCTCATTTTTTGAGGACTACAGATCTGTCGAAAAAGGGTTTATTTTTGACAGATCCGCGCCTAGACTTCTGTTTGTTTGTTTTTTTTGAAAAAGCTCAGTTTCGAAAAAAGTGGTGCCACGTTTATGCTAGTGAAGCGTGGGATAGTTAAATCCCGGCTTCATTAGCAATTTCGATCTGCCTAATCTACATCTCTCTGTTGACAGAGAAGTGCAGTCTAGACACACCCTTAGTTAGCTTCACTGCCTAAATTACTCTGTCTTTAGGGGAGCCGGTACAAGATGCAGCTTTTTGTTCACTGGAGACATGCCACTAAAAGTCAGAAAGGGAATTCCCTCCATCCCAAGAACATTTAAAAGCTCTTCTAAATTCTTCCTCCTGCATTTGGCTTGTAAGTAGACCTGAAATCCTAAAACACGAGTGACACTCCTGCTTGTAACATGGAGAAAGAGGGTAATTCCTCCAGCCAAGCCCTTAAAACGCACTGGAGAGGGTCCGGTGGAGGGAAACCAAAATTATTAGGGGGCAGGAGCACATGACTTGAGGAGAGACTGAGGGATTTGGGCTTATTTAGTCAGCAGAAGAGAAAAGTGAGGGGGTATTTGATAGTAGCCTTCAACTTCCTGATTGGAGACTCCAAGAGGCTGGAGAGAGGCTGTTCACAGGAGTGGCGGATGGCAGAACAAGGAGCAATGGGCTCAAGTTACAGTGGGGGAGGTCTAGGTTGGATATTAGGAAAAACTATCTCACCAGGACGGTGGCGAAATTTTGGGATGGGTTACCTAGGGAGGGGGTGGAATCTCCATTCCTAGAGATTGTCTCATTTTGACAAAGCCCTGGCTGGGTTGATTGAGTTGGGATTGGTCCTGCTTTGGGCGGGGGCTGGACTTGATGACCTCGTGGGGTCTCTTCCAGCTCTCTGGTTCTAAAACTGTTTGTGATGGTTGAGTGAGGATGGGGTTGAGTGAGGATGGGGTTATGTCACCTCTTTCATTTCTGTGCTGATTCACAGAGAAAATCCTTTCTAGCCACCCCTCCTAATGCTGCAGTGGACCAAAACCAAAGCATACTCCCCCCCACTCCCCGTGTTTGTACCTCTTTAATCTGATGCATTGTCAAGCAGCGCTCTGTGCTGTTACGTTCGATGGCTAATGTACTGGATCTTAAATCTTTAGAAAACAAGGGCTAAATGTCAAGTCCTCACTGTTGTCCTACTAAACTTGCTTATCCAGTGATGTCAAATTACTTTCCCTTTCCTCCCCCCAGCCCCCCCCCAGCACTGTATGGAAGTGATATTGTTGATTGTCACTGACTGCCGGGGCAAACATTACATTGAATATCAAAATCAACAACGCCCCAACTTCTGACTCTCTTATAAAGGAGCCATTCAGTCACTTTTTAAAACCTAAACGCTACCACTTAGATTCCAGCCTGCCTCACCAAAACCCCAATGGAATGCAGAGAGCTTGGGGCAGATTTTAAATCTAGCTTGCTGGAAAGCACGCAGTTGGTATTAAATTAGCGCCTAGAGGCCCTGATTGAGATCCAGCCTGTTAACATTGTTTTGTACGGAATATTGTGGGCCAGGTGTTAACATAACCCAGTTATTATCCAACATTAACCTGTTTGAAACTAGGTTTGGGGTTTGTTATACAAAGACCTGCAGTCTGCACCATGGCAAACGTGCCATTAGAATCCTTTCAATAAAGGGAAAGCACTTCAAATGTCAAGTGTTAAAGACGACTTCCACTTGAACATTTCTTGCTTCCTTTCCCTTTAGCTAGAGAGGGTTTTTTAAGAAATAAACCCCTCCCACTTTTGTTTGCTAGTCTCTTCACTAGTAAGAACTACCCTTTTGGGAGGGGGATTAAAAAGCACAGTTAGGATGGGCTGGATCTATTGTTGCTGTTTAAAGCCCATTCCGGTCTCCTTTTAAACGAAACAAGTGACAAAGATGAGCAGCAGCAAACACACGCGAAAGGGGAGAGTAAAGAACAGCCAAGATAGAAAATACGGTTTCGGTCTGTGATTTTGATTTTCACCACTGGAAAAATGCAGCACAAGAAGATTTATCACCCACTCCAAGATCTGGCACACATGTAGGATGTTGCTTTTAGCGGCGACTTGGGTCACGTGCTGGCAGCAGTGTTAGAAAACATGCCATCATGGCCCACTCAGCTAGACTCTAATTAAAAAGAAGGCAGAAGAGACGGGGGGAGAGGAAAGAAAATAAGAGGGAGGGTGGGCGTGCGGGTGGGGAGGGAGGAAGAGGAGGTAAAGTGTCACATTCCAGCTGGTGGCTGGAATTTAGCCAGGGACAGTATGAGCTGGGTCCGTGTCTGTGGCCGGGTCTGATGAGGATCTCTCTCAGGAGTAGGACAAGGAAGGTCCCAGGACACGATGTGCAGCCATGATGATAAAACTTGGCAGTGGTGTGTACTGGCAGAGCAGCTGTTTCAACAAACTGTCCCCAGAGTCTTCTCTTTGAGAAGCTCAGAAGGGAGTGGTGGGTGGAATACTCCCTCCCCTCCCTCTGCCTCCTTACCCCTCCCTACCTTTCCCTCCCTTCCCCTCCCCTTCCCTCTCCCTCCATAC